AGGTCAGTTAGGAGGGAACTGTTCTCATTGTAGTTTTGTGGACAAGTGTCAGAGTTTTGAATTTGATTGGGCAGAAACTGGAAGCCAGTGAAGCGATCTGAACAGGGGGGGTGACGTACTGTTTTTAGCTGGTTGAAAACCAGACGTGCTGCTGCATTCTAGATCATCTGCAGAGGTTTGACCGTGGATGCGGGGAGGCCTGCCAGTAAGGAGTTGCAGTAGTCAATGCATGATATTACGAGAACCTGTACCAGGAGTTGTGCTGCATATTCAGAAGGAAAGTTCTGATCTTCCTGATGTTGTGCAGGGTGAATCGACACGACCAAGTGACAGAAGCCACATGAGCCTTGAAGGTTAGTTGGTTAGTTCAATCATTCCGCCCCAAGTTTCTGGCAGATTTTGTGGGTTTGAGTTGGGTTGAATCAAGCTTGATGTTAATTTCTTGTTGTAGAGAGGGGCTGGCTGGGATGACAAGGAGCTCAGTCTTGGAGAGGTTGAGTTGAAGGTGATGGTTTTTTCATCCATACCGAGATGTCTGCAATGCATGATGAGATCCAGCCAGAGACTATATGGTCGTCTGGGGGGAACAACAGGAAGAGCTTGGTATCATCAGCATAGCAGTGGTATGAGAAACCAAGGGCGTGGATTATTGCACCAAGTGAGACTGTGTATATTGAGAAGAGAAGGGGACTGAGTATTTCTCCTTGAGGAACCCTTGTGGATAGATTGTGCAGTTCAGACACTTCTTCCCTCCAGGATACTCCGAGGTATCTTCCTGAGAGGTAGGACATCAACCAGCAGAGAGCAGATCCTGAGATGCCAAGCTCAGCGAGCGCAAAGAGGAGGATGTGGTGGTTAACCATGTCAAAGGCAGCTGACAGACCTAACAGCAACAGAGCTGAAGATTGTCCAGCAGCTCTAGCAGAACACAGTGATTCTGTTGCAGATAGGAGTGCAGTCTCGGTAGAGTGACACCGTTTAAAACCAGACTGATACGGGTCATACAGGTTGTTGTCACAGAGGAAAGTAGAGACTTGGTTGAAGACAGTTCGGTCAAGCATTTTGCATAGGAAGGGCAGGAGTGAAGCTGGTCTGTAGTTTTCAACCTGGGCTCGGTCGAGTGTAGGTTTTTCAAGTATTGACTGAGTGACTCAAGCTCGCTTAAATGCAGCAGGGAACACACCCGTAACAAGTGGGGAGTTGATGAAGTGTGTTACTGCAGGGTTAAGTGCTGAGGAAATGGTTTATAAGAGATTGGATGGTGTTGGGTCCAGTGGACAGGTAGTGGGATGAGAGTCCAGCAATCGCTTGGAGACTTTCTCCTCAGTCAGAGGGGAGAACAAGGAGAATATGGTCCTATGAGCTGGTGGGTGAACAGACTCAGAGAACAGGCTACTGATTACAGAGACTTTGTCCATAAAGAATGAGGCAAACATGTCTGCAGTGTGTGAAAAGCAGTGCTTTCAAAATGAAGCTGTGTGTGAGTGTAAGAGCCCCTTCTTCCTGAGGGTTTCCAAAAACTCTCAACAGCCACTTTAGTTTTAGTAAACATAGACATGTTAAGTAACAGACTAAAGAAAGATGGCATTTTTGTGGAGTCACCACAACATGGTTTCTCAGCCTTTTCTGGCCAGCAAACAAGTTTTTTAGGGTCACAAATTTCTCATGAACTTACTAAGTTGTCACATTGTCATGTGAATTGAAGCACAGCATACTTTTGTGCTGTATTTCTGATAGCACTGACAGACCTCAAAATGAATCAAATCTGTACATCCGGGGAGGAGACACAACATGTTGTCTCCAGGCACCATCTGACAATGTCAGGCCAACTTAAAGTCCAAATTTCCCATTTTTGGGCATTTTAAGACAAGAAGAAAATGACCCAAAGTGTGTATAAACTGAATAAACTTGGAGATACAGGTTCAATACCTTGAGGTACATTTTTTGTGAAAGATACAGAAAACCCAAACTGAGCGTAGCTGCACTTCTCCACTAACATCCCCAGAGGAACAGACAAGCTACAGCATGAAATGTACTCACCTTTCAAGTCCAGTGAACACCTTCAACCTTTTAAATAGTGTTTATCTGTTGCTGACGAGGAGAAGTGAGTTGAAATAGAAAATATATAGTTTATGAAATATTATTTCAGAATGGTAATGGATGATAGCCTCCATTAGAAGCAACAAGGGATCATTATACAATGTCAAAAAGATTCAAGTGCAGACAGAAAAAAAAAGTTAAAAAAATAAAATAAAAATTCTAGAACTGGTGCCACTTTTAAAGTCCATGCAAAATCTATACAAAACTGAACCTGTGTTTAACAGCATCACCATATTGTAATAAAAAGAGTAACAATAATAAGAATCATATTTTATACATGTAACAAATAAATGTCAAATTATAAAAATAATGAAAAAAAAAATTAAACAAATAAATAAAATCTTAAGTATAATATAACAAGCCAGAATATTTAGGTCAAGTCAAGATGGGTTTTTTTGTTTTGTCTGTTTATTTTTTTCTGACTCTAGCACATTCAAGAAAAGATCCATGGCATCAATGTGCCCTCCAGTACAAATAATTTTTAGCAGGAATTCACAAGAAAAGACTATTTCATGTCAGAGAGGAAACTGATTTCCACAAGGTAATGTCAAATAATTTGAAATATAAAACACAAAATAATTGATTGCATAAGTATTCACCCACTTCAAGTTAATACTTCGTGGAGTCATTTTTGGCTACAATTACAGCATTGAGCACTGGATGATTATTATTCATAGGCGCTATATATATTTATATTTATAAGGGAATATATACATAAGGGAAGACTTCTTTGTGTGAATAGCATTAGCATTACAATAGAAACAAGAAATTTTTCTCTTTTT